ACACCGTCTATATATTCCGCGATTTACCGTTTACATATTTATAACCACTCCTATCCAGCATCGATTTAATGAAATTCCCGCGTTGCACAATCAGTGCAGCACCGCGATCGATAGCCCTACTCTAAGCGCGCCATGAAATATAACGATTTGACGTGACGGCGAGCGTTACCTTCTCTCCCGCATGATATGCAAAAATCATGCAATTTACAGTTAATTTGACTTGGAAATACGGCACAAGTCAACCTTAAAACCGTTGCTCTTCGATTCTACATTAAGTAGTTTGCGCCCTCAACACAAACGTCACAGGGCTCAAAAGTCCAGCTATTCCCAAAACAGTTCACATCTAGATCACGATCCAAATTGAGATAATTCGCGAAATTTCTACCGCTAAAATTATATCGACAATTTACATGTATCTTGACGTCTTTATAAGGCAATTTTAATCGGCAATTTTAATAATTTATATCAATCTTAATTATCTAAGCTTACGTAAGTACTTATCTAGTACGGACTATTTGTGGAAAAGCGAAGCTGCTTGACTTCAATAGACATCGTCCTATTTTTTTCAAGGCGCGTAATTGAGTCGGAGTTGACTCAACGAGAAAATAATTGTGCGTCGAAATACAATTCTCCGACGGTCGTGTTTTCTTTCACTTCAATTGTGCGATGATAATTACATATATCTCGCGTGGATCGCTGTAAGCGAAACGTGAAGGGGGGAAGAGGGGGAGTGGGGTGGAGGAGGGGCGGATCTTGCGCAAGGCTCAAAGGACGAAGAAACTTGCTTTGGGAGCTTGTTTCGTGCTTTATAACCCCGTCGGTTCCGCATGCGTTATCCGCACGCGGGCCTGCCGGCAATGCGTTTGTAGCGTAGTATTCGTGAACCCCGAAGACCGCCGTAATTACGCGCGCCACGTCGGAGGCGAGCGATCGGGTGCAGGAGGGTTGCATACCGCACCTATACATACGTAATTCCCGGAACACGCGCGCACCCCCGAATGGGGCATGAGCCGCACTGGGGCGAAGCCGCAAACCGCGAAAATATCTCGGCACCGTATATAATGAGCTTACGTCGTGCGCCCGCACCGCGGCTCAACATAATTTCCCAAATTTCGACGGATAGGCCGCGGTGAGCGATATTATCTAATGGATCGACGGGGGGGTGACATCTGTCATCGAAGAGGGATCTGGGGATCTGGGGTAGTCTCTGATGGTGGTTAACGCCGTCCTCGCTAACCACCTCGATTTGCATCTGTCCGTTTGCCGTAACGACTCGCGACGCCCTCCCACGATGAGACAAAGTTAATTGATATCTCCTGATCTGTTGGGAAATTCTATGATATAGAATTTCGTTCTATTAATTAAACTCGATTCACTTCGAGGGGGGAAAAAGGGGTTGGGACAAGATTTATGTAATATGAGCGAAAGATTTCGATTTTAATTTAGCCCTTCGCGTGGCTTAATTAATCTTGAAGTATTATTCCGAAACTTTCGAAGAAAATTACTTTTCACATTCACGTCGCGGCTAATTAAATTGTCATTGAGAAATTGAGTAATGTGTCGATGTATTTTACTTTTGCGCTGAAAGAATTAAAACGGAAAAGGCAGATCGCACATAAGGAGAGTAGCTTGTTTATAAATCGGAATGTTCTTTTAATTCATAACCGGAACAGAGTCGCCAGAGATAACTTTCAATAATTTTGAATTACACGTTCCTTTATCTTAACATCACACTTTATTTGCTCGAAGGTATTCCAGGAACTGCCGTTAGCCATGAAGTTTGTCTTGAATAAATACAGGGGAAGGGATATTAGAAAAGTTGCGACCATTTATAATGTCGCCGATTTAAGCACTCCCCGCGTCCGTCTCGTTCCCCATCGCCTTCGTAATTACGCGTGAGTCTTTCTTTCCTCGGGCTTCTCTTTTTTATAAAGTCCTACACTTCAAAAAGAATGTCGCGGCCGCGGTATGCGGACAAAGTTTTTAAGAGGATAAGAGGATGTTCCGTGAATGCGTCGCGGAAAACTCATCCGCCTCAGGAAAGAAACTCTCAAAAGGTTTAATGAAATTAAATCCACGATAGAGAGGTGTGCAAATACTCTTGCCTTCCGTTGTGCATTACAATAGTGATCGAAAACTGCAAACAGCATGAATTCAATACGCTAATGATAGGATACAATAAGTAAAATAACTACTGACAACTTAACATTGTGTTATTTTGTATAAAAAAACAATTCAAGTATAATTTTAAATAGAATAAGTAGTAATTTTAGACTGGACATTATTGAATTGAGATATTGAATCTAGAATATAAAAAAAAAAAAAAAGAAAAGGCAAGGGAAAAAAAGAGAAAATCTAATATTAAAATACAATAAATAAAACAACTACTGATAGCTTAACATCATATCGTGTTATTTTATATAAAAAACAATTCGAGTATAATTTTAAAAAGAATAAGTAATAATTTTAGGCTGCACATTATTACAGATATTAAATCTAGAATGTTTATAAAGAAAAAGCAAAAGAGAAAAGAAAAAAGAATGAGAAAATCTAATGGTAGAATGCAATAAATAAAACAACTATTGACAATATATCGTGTTATAAAAAATAATTCAAATATAATTTTCAACGGAATAAATGATAATTTTAGGCTGGACATTATTTAATTGAGATATTGAGTCTAGAATATTTATAAAAAAAAAGAAAAAGAGAGAGAGAGAGAGAGAGAGAGAGAGAGAACGAAGAAGAAGAGAGAGAACAAAGATCTCGCGAAAATATAATCCATAGTGCTAAATTTTTCAAAATAATATCCTCTTTCTTATAAAAAATGATATAATAACAAAAAAAATAACAAAACATTAATACAAACGGAAACGAGATATAACAATAAAGTTACGTTGATTTTGCACATGGACTTTATTACTTTCTTTAACATCTATAATAACAAAGTACGCGCAAGAAAATTTTCGTTGCTATTTTTTCATCGCATCAATCACTTATTAACTTCGCGTTGAGCTTCGGCAACGAGAGAAAGAACTAAAAAGCCAACCGAACTTTATTACGTTCCTTTCCATCAATTGATCGAGCACATTTGATAGCTGCAGTAATTTCCATTTTATTTCTCGCTATCGTTATCGCATAAGGGACTTGAGGCACTTGCAAAATTCAACAACAGTATTTTATTGCCCGATATTTCATTATGTCGAAACAAACGTATTCGATAATCGATCTTATTGCAAGTCGAATCGAGTTTCAATAACGCATGTCATTGTAATTTGATTTCTCCAGAAAAAGGAACAAAGTTGTTAAGGTTAATTAAAATTCATCCTATTTTAGAATAGCATTCGTTATATTTCATTTATCATTTATCATTTTTCAGCCTTTTCATCACGAAACTCATTAAAACATCAAACGTCCTAAATGTCAATCCTGCTAAATTGAATTATCATGGTGATACAGTACAAATGAAACGTATGTGACAAGTTAAAACAGAAGAATTAATAAATATATAAAATGTAGAGGAAATCTCTCAACTGAATTCTTTTACAAATAAAAGCGTGACTTTAAATACGTTCAAAAAATATAAATATAACACATGCTTTAATAATATTTTTCAATTTTCCTAATTTATTTGATAATATTTTATTCCAAGGGAAATTTCTAAAAATTTACATTTTTTTTTCAAAGGTAAAGTAATGCAAAAGTTTACATTTCTTCCTAAAAGAGATATTTATTTGCGCAATATTTAAATAATTAAATATATTAATGTTTTTACAATATTTTTAAAATAGCCTGAAAATAGTCTGAAAAAGTTAAATCTGAAAATAGCATTCTGAAAAGTTAAAGATGTTTATTTTTTTATTATTTTCCGAATTGTAACTTAAATAATTATTACAAGTTATCTAAATATCTAAATATATATATAATATTATTATATAAATATAATTCCGGAAAAAAATATAAATATTTTCTTTCAGAATTTCACATTTTTTTGCTATTTTCTTTCCATATTAGAGAAGAAAAAACAATAAGTAAGATAAAAAAATAAGCTCCATAAACTTTTCCCGCCTCGTTTGCTCTTGTTATATGGCAGCTGTGTCCCCGATTCGGATAACTTTCTTCATATTTTCGGATATTGCGGTACGTTATGCTTCATCGGAGGGATATCATCTGTTATAAGGGCAGGAAAAGAGGCATTAGTAGGATCGAGAAACGTGACATGATTAGGCGATAAGTCCATCCGACGCGACGTCTGTTTGTTCGCAAGTGGCGAATTAACGATTTCAATTTTGTCGATCGTGTCCGGGAAAACCACGCGGGAATTTTCGGGCATGATTATGTAAATCGTTATGCCGATGTCAGCGGTTAACGGACGGGTGAAGGGTGAAAGTCTAATAACTTTTCTAATAAGTTTTCAACACATGTCGCGCGATATTATAAAATCATTAATGAAATTTATCATTTCGCTGCCTCGCGGATAAATACGCGGTCGCATCGGTAATGCAATAATCGCAAAGCAAAACGGACGAAAGCGCGCAAGATAATTTCGTTTGCCGAAAGAAATTGTGAAATGTACCATTCGTGCCCTCGTGGGTCTCAGAAAAATGTGTTAAGTAGCGAAATAAGTAGTGAAATTAAACGGATGTCACGTATTAAAGATATATGTGATGAGATTTGTAATGCGAATGTAATGCGTCATATTTAAACAATTAACTCTAGATTTTTGCTCATTAAAGAAACAACAAAATATATCGTTAAAAAACAACGGAGTATTTCGTTAGGAGTATTGTTCGTTTTGGAAATTTCGCTGAGATTATGGAATAATGATTTTATATATTTGAAATCTAATAATATATATTAATAATATAATTATATATTAATGATAATTATTTTTCATATCAATTAAATTGTAAATGTGATTTGGAACGTGTGTATTAAATGCCTCTTCTGCAGAACTTTGGCAAAGAGAAAAGATACAAGAGGAGAGATTTGCATTTTTTTTTTTTTCAGCTCCGAATATCTACGGTGATCGTAAGATAGTGAATCTCACTTTATATTCCGCGTTTCTTTTCAGATTTGTAATGATATGTATAAGATATCTGAAGTTTTCTAAAATGGAATCTATTTCTAAAAACGAGTGTAGAACGAAAGCGAGTTCTACGGGGTTTCACGTGCAAGATAGTGCTCGGAACAAATCCGTCGCGGATAGTCAAGAAAGTCTCCCTTCGAGCTCTTTTCCATTTCTATCTTTGGAGTATCGCATAAAGGATGTTACTGTTCCCTCACAGCAGCCATCTCTACGACAAACAAATACGACAAAACTTTCATGCCGCGGAAAATAATAATACGAAGATAAATTTGCATTGGCATGTTGTTGTAACTAGACATGGTGAATCAGGCAAAGTGGATTCTGTTGTGAATTCCATCTTGAACTTCCAAACGGATTACACTTGAGAAAGTACGAGTTAAAAACATACAAACATTCTTAATACGTATTAAATCGTGCAAATAGAATTGGACATATATAGTGCATATGTACGAATGTAGGAGAGAAGGAATCCCGAGAGAAACGCTGATGACGTGAATAATTATCCTAATAACTCGAGGATGCTGCAGATTCCAGATTTCTCTCAACACTTAAGATAGGCGGATTGCGCAAAATTCATCTCTCTCACTCGCTTCGATTTACCATATTTTAATCAGTTTAAAAAGGAACCAGCGATGCAACCAGTAATTCTGAAGCAGGAATTAATTGATAACACATACTTACACACAACTAATAATACGTAAAATTTAAAAATCTTAATCACATTAATTTCAATATTTTATTAATTTTCTATTATTTTTCTGTTACAGAATCAACATTCAGACGACAACGTAGGATTTTCAACGCTTAAAGTAAATAAAAAGAAGATGGAAAAGCTATTAATTGTATAAAGCATATTGTAAGTACATATATATAAAATATATCATTTAATTTTTTTTTTTTATTTAATACAAGTAATAAGAAACATTCTCGATATAAATACAATTAATAATGTTGATGTAAGGATCATAAAAAAATCATATTTCATAGAAATAAGGAAATGTTCATGAGGTTGCAGAAAGAAAACTGTAAAAATAAAAAAAATTGATCGATTAGGACAAGTGAAAATCCACATGGTAAGAAATGCGTAAGAATATTATTTAAGATTTATTAATACGAGAATTCATCAAACATTTTGGTTTCAATTCGAGCCATCTTCAGTGGTAACAAATGATAATGTAAAATACTTCCTGACTAATGGTAATGTAAAATGTCTCCAATGTGAAATTTAATTGACGGCCCGCGCTAGATTCTAGAAAATATTACACATTATCATTATATGTCACAAAGATAACTTAAATTGGAGCCGAAATGTCTGATAAATTTTTATATTAATAAAATTAATATATTAATAAATCTCAAAAAATATAATTACACGCTTCTTACTACAAGGATTCTCAGGTCCCCTAATTAATTAATTCTTTTTATTTGTATAATTTTTTTCATAAACTTGGCATTTCCTTATTTCTTTGAAATTTGATTTTTTTTACGAACCTTATCATTATACTTTATTATTTGTTTAAAATTAATAATATAATAAATCAGACATTTTTTGCAAAATCTTGTTACATTATTTTGATTTCCATTTAACTTTCAAGTCAATCCCAACTTGTTAAAAGCATTAAAAGTAGAATCGGTGTCGATAGAATGCAGAAAGCATGTCAGCAAAGAGGGAGAATTACGAGGAGAGAACATATCTCACAGCGTGCGAAATCTTAGGCTTAGGAACGCGCGGCATCCGTCAAGTTCATTAAGCGAGATCGAGAGTTGGGCGTGACGTCATCGCGCGATTATTCATCCGACGCGAACTTTACGAACTTTCCCGCGTAAAAAGCTTTGAATCGCAATTGCGCGCGGTTGATGCGGTAACATTCCGTCGTAACGTTTAATGGACCCAATAATGAAGACCTTATTTCATAAAACAGAGCCAGCTGTCGCCGACAACGGCGTGTCTTGATCCCGTGAAGATTCCCGTGGGATCCAGTCGAAGGAGAGAAAAAAAGAAAGCCGACAGCCACCTGTATCTTCTGCCGGAAGACACGGATTTTCTTAATGATAAAAAAGAGAGGAGGGGGGGAGGGAAAGAAGTGAAGATACGGAGAACGTGAAGGGGTATACGACGACTACGGAATAAATCGCGCAGAAACGAGGTACGCGCACCCTTTTTCTTTCCCCTTTCATAATCTCTTCGGGACGCAGGATGCGGAGTGAATTACGACCACGTCGCATCGCTGCGACAGCAACGACACGCTTTTTCATCTCGCGCGAGCTTGTAAATACCGTCGTAGTAGCCGGCGAAATTTCATTACACGTCCCATCCGACGCGTGTAGGTCGTTCCACGCGAGATAGGATTAAACAAAATTAACCCGTACCCCCGCATAAATTTCCATCGAAAGAGAAATTTTGCATTTCCAGAAGTTGAATGAGTCGGAAGGGTTAGCTTAACGATATCACTAACGAGAATCACTGAAACAATGTCATTGTGTGTG